ACTGGCACTTGACTCGACAGTGCGTGTGCTACATCCTTTTTACAATCTCTAGATTATAAAACACTGCATTCTGTCAGCAATGTAATGCGGCAGTAACGTATAGAGACCTCGGCTTGTAACTATACTCTAATTACTATTTTGAAAATTATAACGCGTTAAATTATTCAGTTACTAAAAAAGTAATCAAATTACAGTAACTCGTTACTAAGTAATGTGTTACTGCCCAACACTGTACAGCACAATCTGACTCTGCTGCAGCCTAGATTTAAACTGGGTTTGTCTGGCCAGAGGAGAAAGACACACTATTTCCCCATTTAATACTGTAAAGCTGCTTTGACACAATTTGCATTGTAAAAAGCTCTAAATAAATAATGGTGACATGACTTGACTTGTTATAGCTGTATTAAAGCTATGTTTAAAACTTTGTTAAAGTAATATTTTGCCTGCACTGTGTCTGTTACAACAGTGTTTCAGCTTTGTTACATCTTTGTTCATGGCTGTTATGGCAATTTTATGGCTCTGGCTATTTTACAGCTACATGTTTTGACTGTGTTATGACTGATACAACAGTGTTTACAGCTGTTAAGGCTTTATTACAACTATTTTTATGGCTGTTATGTGTATTTTACAGCTGTGTTAAAGCTATGTTTTGGCTACGTTAAGGCTTTATTACAGCATTCTTTATGGCTGTGTTACAGCTGTTAAAACAATGATTGTGGCTATGTTTGCGGTTGTATTATGGCTATTTTATAACTACATTTACAGATGAGTTAAAGTTATGTTTTGGCTGCATTACGACTGTTACAACAGTGTTTATAGTGGTTACGGCTACTGTTTCAGCTGTGTTTATGGATGTGTTACAGGAATTATTATGGATATGTTTTCGGCTGTGTTGCAGTTAAGTTCACAACTGTGCTAAAGCTATGTTTTGGCTGTTACAGCTGTGTTACAATAGTACTTACAGCTGTTACGACTTTGTTACACAATTGTTTTGTGCTATTATGACTTTACAGTTATGCTACGGCTATTTTTACAGCGGTGATTATTGGCTTTGTTATGGCTATGTTACAGCATTGTTTATGGCTATGTTACAGCTGTGTTAAATTAATGATAGTTATGTTTACATTTGTGTTATGGCTATTTTACAGATACGGTTACAGCTATGTTATGACTCTAACGGCTATGTTACAAAAATGTTTGCGGCTGTGTGTTATGGCTGTTTATGGTTGTGGTTGTTATATTCACTATATTCTCTCTCTCTCTGTCTCTCTGCAGGAGCTTCATATCATCAGAACTCAGCCAGTTGTGCTCGAATCATCGTCTGTTCCTCTTCAGAGCTCAGAGTCATCCCTCTCTCCCCAGGATGAGAGGAGCGCATCTGTCTCCCCGTCTGACTATCTGCTGGACATTAATAAGGTTCTGCTGGCCATGGCCGACAATGAGCTGCTCCTGAACTCCTCAGAGCTCAGCGGAGGCCTGTTTGAGGATTTCTCCAGCCAGGAGGACACGCTCAGGGTCAGACACACTACAGGAGTTTGCTTAGACACAACAGTTTCCTTCATAACAGGGTTCAAGAAGTCCAAATGTGACCACAAAACCAGTCAAAACGGTCAATTTTTGGAAACTGAGATTTACACATCCTCTGAAAGCTGAATAAATGGGCTTTCCATTGATGTATGGTTTTTTAGGATAGGACAATATTTGGCCGACATACACATATTTGAAAATCTGGAATCTGAGGGTGCAAAAAATCAAAATATTGCGAAAATCGCCTTTTAAAGTTGTCCAAATTAAGTCCTTAGCGATGCATATTACTAATCAAAAATTAAGTTTTGATATATTTACGGTAGGAAATTTACAAAATATCATCATGGAACATGATGTTTACTTAATATCCTAATGATGTTTGGCAGAAAAGAAAAATTTATAATTTTGACCCATACAATGTATTTTTGGCTATTGCTACAAATATACCCCAGCGACTTAAGACTGGTTTTGTGCTCCAGTGTCACAAATATCAGTATGCTAGTACAAGTGTTGGGGAAACTGCTTTGAAACTAGCTTGCCAAACTACAGTCTACTCGTAAAGTGTGAGCTAAACTGTTGACCATAATAACTTCCTGTTCACTAGCAGTCTAAAATAGAGGCTGAACTGACTATAGCAATGGGTGTTTTCAGTTGTTCTGTTGGTTTTGTGTTGACTTCTCTGTGTCTCTGTTTCTAGAATATAAAGGAGAGTTTGGGGCGGTTGGGTGAGCAGGTTGAAGTGATTAATGAGCGCCAGCCTGATGTGATTCTGGAAGCTTCCAGACAGGAGATGGCACAGTTATCTGATGCCCTGACACAGCTGAACTCAGAGTGGGACAGAGTCAACCGCATGTACAGCCAGAGGAAAGGGTGAGTCTGGAATGACTCTGCATTTCTCCATAATTCCCTGTCTAGACGAGCAGTCTTTCACCGTGTCCCCTTTATGGTCCGTAGTCACAAAGTGAACCTGAAAAAAAAAAACTTTTGCATTTCATTTGTTGGACAAGATAGTAGTTATTGCATGAAACCAATGATGAATACAGTATGAGAGATTATAATATTGCATCTCTAGTTATGAAGGAGGTCGTAATTATCCATCTCTTTAATTGTAGTGCTCTTCCAGTTGGATGTGTGTGAGCGTTGGTTGCAGTGGGTTAGGAAGAGTTAGCATTCAAGCATATATTTCCTCATTTTCTCCTTATTGAAGGTAGATTTCCTAATGTTATTTTGCCCATTCGTAACATGCTAATGGAGGAGTCCAGGAAAGGATGTGCTCATGCATTCGAGATTGGGGGCAGCAAATGTAATAATTTAAAAACCCATAGCAGTCAATGCCTATTCTGAATTTAGTTGGAGGGAGGGAGGATATGCCCTCTCAGTACCTATATGGAATATGTGCTGATGATTGGTCCATAGAGAAATGTGTCAAGTCCCTGGATATTATGTGTTGTGTTGTTTGTGTTGTGTATATTGTGTTGTTGACTGTTCGTAATCACTGACATTTTTATTCTCTTATGTGTGTACAGCACTTTGACAATCACTTGTTGTTTTAAAAAAAGTGCTTTATAAATAAACTTTGACTTTGACTATTATAAATGCATGAGGATGAGGGAGAAGCCAATGCCAGTATCTCACTACTCAAACCTTCATTAACTCCGGTGCAGAGTGCTTCTGATTTAAAGAAACATCACACTCTAATAGACATTTTCAAGCAAAATTAAAATGATGAATAATACCATCAGTGCTAATTAGTTAAAAAGTTGCCTTTGTAGTATAATGATGATTACATCACAATTATCATTTATTTATATCAATTTTCATTTTTTTTTTTTTACTGTTGTAGAATAAGCTTGAGATGCAGTCACACAAAACCTGTCAAGAACATGCCATATTTTACACAGAAATATTGGATGAAGCCCATTAAGATTTTTAAGAACATTTTTGTTAATTAAAATGAAGATGAAACAAAAGAACATAAATATTAAATTTAAAAAAAACTAAGCAAAAATTTGTAGTGTTGGCAACTGAGAAAAAAAAACCAACAACAACAGCAACAGCACATTACAAAAGTGGTAAGTAAATAAATAAGTAAATAAATTGTAATAAAATAATAATAACTGAAAATCTAAAAGTAAAAGCCAAGTCCAAATATTAATACAACTATAATAATATTAGTGCTGTCAAACGATTAATCGCGATTAATCGCATCCAAAATAAAAGTATTTGTTTACATAATATATGCATGTGTACTGTGTATGTTTATTATGTGTATTTATAAATACACACACATAGAAT